ATTTCTAAAGAATATTCAAAGCCAGAAGTTATAACTTCAAAATTCGGAGGGAAAATAATTTCAAGCCTTGCCAAAGAATCAACATACTGGTGAAAAAGTCCTTTTCCAGTATACCAGAATTCACAAATTTAACACATGTATCCCTTCTTACATGCCACCTGTATCAAAAATCAATTTTGATATTTGGAGTTTTCTTGGAGTAAACAAAGAAATGGGAAGGCATGAAATCAAATAAAAACAGAGAAGAGCACAGAATTTTTTTAAAAGGCAAATTTTAAAATAGTTGTGTAAGTACAGCTGGCAGGGAAGAACAAAGGATTGTAGAGGGGCTACCTTTAAATACAGGAAACTGATAGATTCAGTTGTTGACAAAACAAACATTTATTTTCTGCCAGACTATGAGGATGAATTAGGGAAGATATATGGACCATCAGGTGTCACCCTCCCTTATTTAAAAAAGGTAGTATTAATTACATAGAAAACAAGGTTGTACAATGACATAAACATGATTCATAGCTTAGTTACAAATAAAATCCATTATAAAGAATAAATAAATAAGCCACAGCTTAGGAAAACATACTTAAATATTTATCTGTTAAAGAACTAGCACCCAAAATATAAAGATCTTTTAAAAATCACTAACAAAAAAACTAAATGATCCCAGAGAAAAGAAACCATTAAACAAGCAGGAAGATATCTGTTGTATAATAAAGAATATGTCTACTCTTTATCCCAGGTTCCTAGAACAGAGTTTCCAAAACCCTTGAATTTCCCAAGGGGTAGAAGTGTCATTGTTACTGGATCACACATTGAGTTCATACTGAGGTGAGCCCTGTCTGTGGGAGAGGAGGAGTGGAGGTGGGGATGGAGTTCAATCATGTGGCCAATGATTAAACATTCATGCTCACATAATGAAACCCAATAAAAACTCTGGACACTAAAGCTAAGTGGAGCTACCTGGTTGGTTCCTGGTTGAACACACTGAGGTGCCAGTAAGTAACACACCCTGATTCCACAGGAAAAAGGCACAGAAGCTGTGTTTGGGTTCCTTCCAGACTTTGCTTATGCATCTCTTCATTGAACTATTCCTGACTTGCATCCTTTTGTTTATCATAAAACTTTAATTGAGAGTACAGTGTTTTCCTGATTTCTATGTCATCATAGCAAACTATTAAGTCTGGTAGAGAGGGAAGTCATGATGACTGCTGCCAATAATCAGGTTTGTAGGCAGTTGGTCTGAAATAGGGGCAGATAAACTTAGTGAACTAAAACCTGTGGAGTCTAACACTAACTCTGGGTGGTTAGTGCCAGAACTGAACTGCAGTACACCAGCTGGGGTTGAAAGGAAATAACATCCCATATGCATGGATTAGAAGACACAATAGTGTTAAGATGGCAATACTTCCCAAAGAAATCTACAGATTCAATGCAATCTATGTCAAAATTTCAATGATCATTCATAGAAACAGAAAACCAGTCTTCAAATTTGTATGGAATGGGCCCTGAATAGTCAAAACATTGAAAAACAAAGTAGGAAGACTCACCCCTATTTCCAAAATTTAGTCAAAAAGCTACATAAATCAAAACAGTGTGATGCTAGCATACAGACAAATATATTGACTAATGAAATAGAACTGGGAATTGAGAAATAAACCCAAACATCTACAGCCAATTGATTTTTGACAAGGAAAACTCCATTCATTGGGGAAATAAAAGTCTCTTCAACAAATGCTGTTGGGACAACTGCATAAATATGTGCAAAAGAATGAAGTCAGTCACTTTATATTAAAAAATTAACTAAAAAATGGAACAATAATCTAAATATAAAAGCTAAACCATACAGCTCCTTCAAGAATACATAGGGTTCTTGTAAATCTACATAACCTTGGAATTGGCAGTAGATTCTTGGATTTGGCACCAAAACCTCAAGCAATGAAAGAAAAAAAATACATAAATTTTAATTAAAGTTAAAAATTTTGTGATGCAAATGTTTTCATGGGGCAAATAAAAGTTGTGAAACCAGAGAGAGCTGACTGATGCACAACATTGTGATACAGGCTAAATACCACTGAACTACAGTAAATACCACTGGATTGTCCATCTTAACATGGTTAAGTATATTACGTGAATTTCACCTACATTTTATAAAAAATTGAAAAAGAAAAGCAGTCAAAAGGAAACTCATGTAAAAAGATGTTTACTTTCATTAGTAATCAAGATATTATAAATCAAAACTATACTGAGGTATCTATATATACATCAGATAGATAGTGGGACAATTCCAAATACTGGCGAAGATGTGGGACAGTAGGCAAATATACACTATTGGAGGTAGGAACTCACACAACCACTTTGAAAGTTGCATGTTATCTAGGACAATATGCATATTCCCTATGACTTAGAAATTTCACAACTAGGAAAAATATATACTAGAATGTTCATATTAACAGTTTTTAATAAGAGCAAAAAGCTAGAAATCCCAATATCCACAAAATATACATTGGATAAAGTAAACCATGATATATCACCCAGTCTATCTACTAGCATACAGCAATGAAAATAAGACACATTTGTTTCATATGAATTAATTTAAATAACAGTATTAAACAAAGATTAAAGGAATACATATCAGATGAGTTAAGTTATATAAAGTTTAAAAGCAGGCAAAATTATAAAACATTCTTTAGGGAGTCAAAGTTGATAAAATAAAATTTTATTTTTTATTTTATTCATTTGTTGTTACTTATTTACAATTACTAATTATTTGATTATTATTATAATAGCATTTTCACAAAAGTCTGGGCACCCCAATATCCACAAAAAGTGTGGATACACATTGAGGATACACACTATTTAATGGTTACTACTCAGTGGGGAATGAAGAAGATAAACTTTGTTTGGAGAGGTAGAGGAGGGCTTTGAGGTAATAAAAATTTTTTAAACTGCATCGTGACTATATGGGTATTATCATATAACCTGGAATATATTTCATACATGCCTGAATATAAAAAATATTTTTCTTAAAGCTTAAAATTAAAAAAAAGAAACAGAGACAACATTGCTCAATTTATCTGATGAAACTAGTATAACCATGATACCACATAAGAAAATGACTACATGAGAGAGAATATTAAGCTAACTGATGAACACAGTTGAAAACCAAGTTCTAGCAACCAGTAATAAAATTCTAGAATACAATAATAAAAAAACATTATGACTAAGTGATTTTATTCAAGACATACAAGATTATTTCAACAGTAAAAAAATCTATTAATGTAATTAACTATATTAACAGATTTAAGAGAAAAACACAATTATCTCCAATGGACAGAGAGAATTTTATAAAATTCAACATCTAATTATTAAAAAGAAAACAGCTTTTAACAACTTGTGAATAGAAGGAAATTTCCTTATACTTATGAATGGTACTTACAAAACACAGGAAAGAACATTCCAAGTAATGAAAACAGTTAAGTGCATGTCCTTACAAGTTGTAGCAAGTAAAATAACTAAGCACTGAAAAGCAAAAAAACAAACTGATGTTTGCAGATTTTACGATTGCCTACAAGGAAAAAATCCAAAAGATCATTAGATTTAATAAGAAATTTCACAGAACTGTCAGAAATAAATGAGAAAACAAAGGCCACTGCATCTCTATACATCAACAAAATAAGAAAAATACATTATTTTTAAATAGCATCAATGCAAAGTATACTTAGAAATGTATACTATGCAGATAGAATTAGAAAGTGAACTGAAACAACATTAATGCCTAAATAAATGAAAATGTCATTTCCTATTAAAAGGAATCATTAATTTTGTAAAGATATCAATTCTCCTTAGAGTGGTCTATATATTTAATGCAATTATAACCAAGGTCACAAGATTTTCATGGGCCTTGACGATTCTCTAATTTATATAGAGGACTAAGGGATTAATACATTCCTTAAAAATAAGCTGGAGGACTATTTACAATAGCCAAGAAATGGAACCAACCTAAGTGTTCATCAGTAAATGAATGGATAAAGAAGACGTGGTATATATACACAATGGAATTTTATTCAGCCATAAGAAAACAAATCCTACCATGTGCAACAACATGGATGGAGCTAGAAGGTATTACGCTCAGGGAAATAAGCCAGACAGAGAAAGGCAAGTACCAAATGATTTCACTCATCTGTGGAGTATAAGAACAAAGAAAAAACTGAAGGAACAAAACAGCAGCAGAAACACAGAACCCAAGAATGGACTAACAGTTACCAAAGAGAAAGGGACTGGGGAGGATGGGTGGGAAGGGAGGGATAAGGTGGGGGGAAAGGGGGCATTATGATTAGCATGTATAATGTGGGGGAGGGAGGGCTGTGCAACACAGAGAAGACAAGTAGTGATTCTATGCCATCTTACTACGCAGATGGACAGTGACTGTGAAGGGGTATGTGGGGGGGACTTGGCGATGGGGGGAGTCTAGTAAACATAATGTTCCTCATGTAACTGTAGATTAATGATAACAAAATAAAAATAAATAAGTACCACACACACACACAAAAAATAAGCTGGAGGGACTTATAATAAAACATTCGTCATTAGTTGACTGTGGCATTAGCACAGGGATTAAAAAAACAGAACTATGGCATAGAAGACAGACCCAGGTATATACTCACACACACACAAACTTATGATCTGACAATCCTGGTACTACACCAGTGAAGAAAAGACTCTTCAAGAAAAGGTGCTATAATAATCAAACATCCATAAAAACAGGATCATATCTGTATCTCATCATATGCAAGTTCTAATTAGCTTTAAAACTCTTCTTAGAAAACTTTTTGCTAGTTATCAATTTATTGCCTCTAAGCTCCAAATTCATCCTTCACTGCCTACTCTGTGAAAGATGGCAATACTTAAATATGAGCTATTTAAATATTTTTCCTTTGCCAGCACAATGTGAGGTTTTGTCAGTAAAAGGTATTAGGAAGACATTACAGGAGAAGTATTCTCACCTGGTTCTGGTGCTTGCCTGTTAGGTTCTCCAGAGCACAGGTCCATCTCCTGCAGCACACACAGCTTCCTCACTTCCCAGCTCCTGCAACCTGGGCGGCTTTACCAGGCTCCTATAGTGTAAACAAACAACTTCTCCAGCTCCTGGCTTCTAATGTGCAAGGCAGCCAGCAGCATCTGTCAGACAGCTTCCTCTGGCAGTTTTGTAGTAAATACTTCTGGTAAGACATCTCCCATACAGGACAGGTTTCTGGTAAATTCCAGAGGAGAGATTTCCAGCAAGTTCTGCTGGCACAGCACTACAGTATGGATAGGACCATGGTGAGGCAAGCAAGATATCTAGGACACAAAATTTAAGCAAGGACTTACTCTCAGATGCCACCCTGCAATGGTCTTACCCTAAGAATCAGAACCTGCTTAAGAATGACACCTAGGGTGCAAATTTTGAGGTATTTGCTCACAAGTCATCAAAATGTAGAGTTGACACCTCAGAGTGCTTCCTTACATTCTGCACCCCTGGCACCTTACTTGCCTCACCTCAGCCCTGAGCAACACCACAGCAACTACTTTGTTAAGCAGTGAGCCACAACTGTGCCCTGTCCAACAAGGTCTGGCTCTAGGCCCTAGGCTTCCTTGGGTGCTCTGTTTAACCAGTAGGAGTTGTGACTGCTCTTTATATATGCAGTTCTTATCGTCTTTAGTGTTCTCTGCTTCTCACTAGCCAATCCTTCATTACACCAATCCCATTACAGTTAATAATTCTTTACAGTGAATTTTCCCTGTTTAAATTACTGCATGTTTTGTCTCTTCACTGGATCCTGAAAGCAACAGAATTGGTTTCTGAAGTTCTCCCAGGAGACAGGCCTATAAAGATGGGATTTGAAGATTAGTTTGGTCATATCTTTTAGCCACTTTTGCACTGAGCTGTTCTATTCTTTTCCAAATGTTTACTAATTCTTTGAGCTTGACTACAGCACACAGCTCCCTGTCAGTGGAATTTCTGATGCTAAAAATCCATGGCATGCAATAGGATCACAATTAATCAATCTGTGGTTGATTATGATGAAGTGCCAACTCAAGCATGTGCCTTGGCAGCCAAGCAGCTGCTGTATTTGACCATTATGGCAGTAATGACTTGTAAGGACTTTGGTGTAAGATGGATTCATCTGAGCTCAACTAGTGCTTACAAAGAACAAGATCAGGCCTGTCAACTCTTAAAAAGTCAGTCTTGAGAACCAGAGTACTTCAGTGAAACTCCTAGACAAATCTCCATTTTCTGAAGTCATTGGGCTGATAATGCTGAAAATCAAACATAAAATTGTGCAGGTTGCTGACATGGTAACAGCTGAATTCAGTCTTGCCATGTTTTTCATACAAAAGTTAGAGGACTGATTGGTAAAGAATGAGATCCTTAAACATGAATCTGAGATATCTAGTGGGAACCCAGATGAAACTGACAATCCTGAAGCTCCCAAGTTGCTTTGGGCTCTCTTACCGGTGGAAGTAACTTGCAATCGAGTGTCTGGGAAACCAGCTTTCCTCTGATTGAAAACCCTATGAAAACATCACTTGCAGCAATACCGTTGAAAGGGCATGCTCAGTCTCCTCAAGATCCACCAGAACCATTCTGTTGCCACTACACCCATAATGACGGTACAATCTCAGCATGTTCCAGGGGGACAGGTTCATACCATGAGCCAGGAAGAAATCACTTACTATTAGTTTGCTAGGGCTGCCACCAGACTGGGTTGTATAAACAACAGAAATTTGTTTGTTCACAATTCTGGAGAAGTCCAAGATAAAGGTGTTAGCAGTTTTGGTTTCTTTTGATGTCTCTCACTGGCTTGCAGATAAGCCACTTGCTCACTGTCCTCACCAGATCTTTCATGTGTGTGTGAGCATTCCTGCTGTCTCTTTGTATATCTAAATTTCCTCTCATATAAAGATACAGACTGCTTTAGGACCCACACTAACTGCCCCATTTTAACATAATCATCTATTTAAAAGCTCTATATTCTAAGGTACTGGGAGACTGTAGCTTCAACACACAAATTTTCGGAGGACACAATTCATCACATAATATTCACTAAGACAAGAGTTGTCAGAGCAGAGTGACACTGCTCTAACTATATTTTTTGTATAGTTTTAAATTTGGAACCATGTTAAATGTTTTACAGTCATATAATCAAATCAACAAGAATGGATTAATAATTTAAAGACCTAGCAGGACACAAATGAACTTAAACATATTTCAAATGATTAACATAACCACACTGAAGGAGGGGATAAGAAATTAACCCCAGTAAATCTGAACACAGTATTTTAATTATGCACCCTTATTCTAAAGACAAAGAGAACTACAAAAACATAATGAGTTCCACTTAGGCTTGATATTTACTATAGTATAGATTAGCAATTCTAAAACTGGTTTGCTATATTCTAGAATTGAGCAAATTAGTACATATGAGGGTAATGAGAGCTAGGTTTTTAATTATTGGGGAAGGGAGATACAAGTATGGCACAAGTAAGACAAGAATGACCACTATAGCCCTACCACCCATATCTTGGGTTCTAAATATTCTTTACTTCAAGGAACTGGGCTCTTCAGAGAAACAGTACACTTCAGGCTGAAGCTAAGAGTATCTAGAAACGAACCTGTAACATCTTGCACCAGAAAATAAGGAAATTATGGTGAATGTCAAAAGGACACAGAAGCCAACCTGAATAGGCTCCCACTGGCCAAATCTGGGACCATTTGAATGTGAAAGTAAATAGTAATAGATTATAACCCACTGAATAAAGTAAAAATCTGTGAGTTCAAATTGACCTAACAAATGAACAAGTAAGTGGGGAAGAAGGGAATGCTCTTCCTTACAGTAGAATGCAACTAATTAATACAGACATAATGGATTACCATTTTGAAAACATCACAATAATAATGGATCCAAACAATAACAATGAATGCTACTTTAAGCTGCTTAAAGTAGTAGGTGAAAGATTGGTGAGAAGTTATTTACAGTTTCAAAATATCTCCCCACAAATTATCTATTACTTACAAAGAGACAACTATTACCTTGAACAACAATGAAGAAACATAGTAGATACTACCTACAACATCTGACACTAAATGAGATGGTGCATTTTTTTAGCTACATATATGTATAACAGTAACAATATTATACACAGTAGTAATAGTAGTATAAATTCATTCAGGTACTTGGACTTGATTCCAATGTGTGCAAACATGGGGAGGGAGGTCTTCCCACACATACTTACACCAAGCAATTCTCCAGCAGGGTTTGGAGAACTCAACTCAATTCTGATGCCATCTGCCCAGAGACAGCACCAGATTCCCCAAGTTAAGGGTTCCATCTTACAAGACTGCCCTCCACCCCCTACTTCAGATGCCAGTCACAAGCTCCAGGCAGTTCCCTGTGCTCCTGACCTACCAGCTACAGATTGGAGGTTCCCGTGACCTCCCCCTTAGGTTTGATTTATTTGCTAGAGTGGCTCACAGAACTCAGGAAAACATACTTACCAATTTAATAAAGGGTACCATAAACGATAAAAGTTAACATCCAGGTGAAGAGAGACACAGGGCAAGGTCCCAAATACAGGAGCTTTTGTCCTCATGGAGCTTGGTGCCTGGCTTGGTGGTATGTGGAGGCGTTCTGAGTCCCAGAGCATAGCTCTCCCCAACCGAGAAGCAGGATCCAACTGAGCAGAGAAGGCCATGCAGAGCGAGTGGAGAGAGTGAGTTCTTCTTACGGGTTTTGTGAGGTCTTTATTGCATAGCCATAATTGACTAAATTAGTGGCCATTAGCTGATTCAATCTCCAGCCCCTGCCCCTGGGTGGGGGTCCAAAAGTTCCTCATTAACATGACAAAACACCCATTTCACCTTTAAGACTGCAGTGTTTTCAGGAACTGTGAATGAAGACCAAATATATGTACATGGGAAATACATACTTGGTCATCAGAATGACCAAGTATGTATTTCTCACAACTCATTATATCACACTACCTTAACCAATTATCAAAGTCAACATCATTTATCTCCTGATAGGATGCACTGAGGATACAGTCACTTCTCTGGTGTTCCTGTCACAAAATTCATAAAATCTGAATCTAAGTATAAGAAACCATAAGACAAACCTTAACTAAAAGACATTCTACAAAGCAATGGGCATATCTTCTTCACAGTTAAGGTTATGAAACACAAAGAGCAAGCAACTCTTCCAGATTAAAGAAGGCTAAAAAGAGACATAACTAAATTAGATGTATAATCCTAGACTGTATCCAGGATACTGTGTGGGGAAGAAAGGGTGAGAACAGGGTGAACTGCTGTGGGTAAAACTGCAGTTATTTCCAGAATCTCTTGCCTAGCCTTGGTGCATCTCTATATCAATCGGTGTGTCCTAGGAGTGGAGAAAAGTAGTCCATCTCCATATCAATAGGTCGGCATATCTGAACCTGAGAGGTTGGGTGGGGTCCCTTTGCAGTCCTGAGACACAGGCCAGCAGAAGTGGACTTCTTGTAAGCAATACATGGGCTTCTCCCACTTTATTTCTCCCTTTGACTGATTTCAGTTTCAAAGGTATTTTGCCCTGGGCTGGGAGAGCATTTTCCCCTCAGAGATACATCTGGAGGTAGTCAGCAGGACCTCTGAACCTGAAATGTCTTCATAGGTGTGACCTTTGGGTGGGCTGCCCCTAGAGATGGTGGGGAGATACCTGGAACCACCAAGTCCGCGGATACTGGGGAGGTCCCAGTGGCTGCAGCGGTAGAGGTCTGTAGCTTCACCCGGGAGCCTGTCTGTGGGGCTTCCAACTGGGGAGACCCTAGTGGGGACTTGGTCTAGGGTAAAGCACCTCCAGGAGGGGTAGGGCCTTCCTCAGAATTGACGAGGGCTGGAGACACCGGAAGCTGTGGAATTAGCCCTCTGTGAGACAGAACACTGCTTAGAGGCCCTAAGTGTCTGGGTAGCAGCTAGGATTGTGGTATGTCTGTTTCTCGAGATAGTAGAAAGGGTTATCGAGGAGACAGACATACTTTGGATTGGCTTGGAGATGCTGGGTGATGACCTATGGGATGGCCTTAAGAAAGAGAGAGTTATTGAGGAGACAGGTCATGCTCCTGGAAGATAATTTACTAGTGAGAAAGGAGGCAGCAGGAGAATCTGTATTGCAGGAGGCTGTGGGGGAGGGGGAGGAAAGAGCAATGCCTTCAGCCCAGGAGATGGCAGAGATGTCGGGAGAGGATGTAGGGGTGGGGCTGAGGGCCAATCTGTTACTAAGGCCACCACACAAGGCGCTAGCCTCTTCCATATTAAAGGCCTGCCAGGTTGTAATTAAGAAAATAAAAACACAACTGAGGGCTCCTCAGGGGGAGGTGCCGCCCCCCTCCCCAGGTTGTGGAGCACTCCATGCTCTTCCCATATACCCAGGTTGAACTGGTAGACATGAGCATCTGGTATTGGCAGAAGCCATTGAAACCTCTGCCTACATGGCTTTTGCGTCTCTGGAATATGAGGGTGGAAAACATTGTTGTCAGGTTCTGAAATGGGTAGACTAGCTTTCTGACAACTCACCCTTCCCTCCAGCAGTGGTTGCAAAGTGCCTGTCACACCTCAGGGAATCAGATGCTTTTGGATTGGCTGACAGCAGCCATCAAGGCAGTTTGGTCTAATCAACATGATTTACCATACTTACCCACTAGCTGGAAAACATATGCAGAGCACCAGCAGGTGTTACAGGAGCTGTGCATAAAAAACATCATCTATAATATGGACTCCCAGGCCCCCAATGAAGAGTTGTTCACTGTAGGAATGAGAAATCTGGTGCTCCATACTACCAAGGGTAGTCCCCAGCTACCCTTGGGTCCCTACTGACTATTCTTGTCCCCCACATAGGGCAACCCGTAAGTGAGGCTACTCGTACTTTGGCAGATCTAGGGGAGGTTGAAACAATAAGAGCACGGCAGGAAGTATGGGCTACGACTGAAAGGAGAGGTGCAAAGGGCTCCATGAAGGTCTCGAGGACCCAGATGTGGGTTGACTTGCTAAAGGCCAGGTTGGTGAAAGAAAAACTTGATGGACAGCCCAACAGGATCATGTTAGAACTGTGGCACCAATTAAAGCCAGAGCATCAGTTTGAGCTGCTGAGGTCCAGGACACAAAAACTGGAGGCAAAGCCCCATGCCCAGCCTGTGTCCCTGCAAGACTTCCTCAGGGGCAGTACTCAGGATCCGCCTGGGCTCTCATCCCCACAGGAGGACGACTGGGTGTCACATTTGAGTTAGAAGGGGTATCAAGGCCCCCACCTTGAGGGACATGGTAGGGACTGGCAGCCACTTGTAGGGACTGGCAGCTCATTGGTTCCCTGTGAATGTACAATGTGTCCTGGCACTGGTGGACACAGGAGCTGAATGTTCTCTGATTCATGGCAACCCTGAGCATTTTCCTGGGAGCCCTGCTGTGAGAGATGGCTGTCGGGGTAGGGCAATTAGAGTGAAGAAAGCTCAAATCCCATTAGGGATAGGATGCTTACCCCCAAAGGAGTATACCATGTACATTTTTCCCATCCATGAATATATTTTGGGGGTAGATACCCTGCAGGGCTTGCAGTTACAGACCACTGCAGGTGAGTGCTGACTGAGGGTATGTGTGGTAAAGGCAGTTCTGAGGGGACATGCTCAGCACCCGCCTGTAGCTCTGCCTGTACCTCAGCAGGTGACAAATACTAAGCAGTATACAGTGCCTGGGCGGGGGGTGGGGCGGTGCACAAGGAAACTGGAGAAACTCTACAGAAGTTGGAGAAGGTAGGCATCATAAAGCCCACTCACAATCCTTTTACTTCAACTGGTGTGGCCAGTGAAAAAGCCAGATGGCTCTTTGCACATGACCGTGGATTACAGGGAATTGAATAAAGTCACACTCCATTTATATGCTGCTGTCCCCTCTATAGCAGCCCTTATGGATACCCTCAGTCATGAATTAGGGACGTATCATTATGTTGTGGACCTTGCTAATGCTTTCTTCTCTATTGACAGCACAGGAAAGTCAGGAAGAGTTTCCTTCATGTGGGAAGGCCAGTGGTGGGGGTTCACTGTCCTTCCACAGGGATACCTCCACAGTCCTACCATTGTCATGGACTTGTGGCCCAAGAGTTGGCCACATGAAAGAAACTGCTAAGAATGAAGCTGTATCATACACTGATGATATCGTGCTCACATCTGATTCTCTTTCAGATTTAGGAGGGAACATCTAACAGAAAGGATGGGCTGTGAACACACCAAGGTTCAGGGACCTGGTTTGTAAAGTTCTTGGGGATTGTCTGGTCAGATAAAACTAAAGTTATCCCATTAAAACCACAATGAGATATCACCTCACACCAGTTAGGATGGCCAACATCCAAAAGACAAACAACAACAAATGTTGGCAAGGATGTGGAGAAACCCTCTTACACTCCTGGTGGGAATGTAAACTAGTTAACCATTGTGGAAAGCAGTATGGAGGCTCCTCAAAACACTCAAAATAGAAATACCATTTGACCCAGGAATTCCACTCTTAGGAATTTACCCTAAGAATGCAGCAGCCCAGTTTGAAAAAGATACATGCATTCCTATGTTTATCACAGCACTATTTATAATAGCCAAGAAATGGAAGCAACCTAACTGTCCATCAGTAGATGAATGGATAAAGAAGATGTGGTACATATACACAATGGAATATTATTCAGCCATAAGGAGAAAACAAATCCTACCATTTGCAACAACATGGATGGAGCTAGAGGGTATTATGCTCAGTGAAATATGCCAGGCAGAGAAAGACAAGTATCAAATGATTTCATTCATCTGTGGAGTATAAGAACAAAGAAAAAACTGAAGGAAAAAAACAGCAGCAGATTCACAGAACCCAAGAATAGACTAACAGTTACGAAAGGGAAAGGGACTGGGGAAGATGGGTGGGAAGGGAGGGATAAGGGGGAAAACAGGGCATTACGATTAGCACACATAATATAGGGGGAGGGGACACGGGAAAGGCAGTATATACAGAGAAAACAAGTAATGATTCTACACCATCTTACTATGCTGATGGACAGTGACTGTAATGGGGTATGTGGGGGGGGACTTAATAATAGGGGAGTCTAGTAACCATAATGTTGTTAAAGTAATTGTACATTAACGATATCAAAAGAAAAAAAAAACTAAAGTTATCCCAGAAGCAGTCATAGACAAGGTCCAGGCTTTCCTTACCTCTACCACTGTGACAGTATTACAAGAGTTTTGGGGTCTTTTGAGCTACTGGAGAGTGTTTATCCTGTATGTGGCAAAAATTCTGAAGCCCTTATACTGGTTGGTATGAAAGGGCATCAGGTGGGACTGGGATGAAACATGTGCAACTGCTTTTACTGCTGGTAAGCAAGCAGTAAAGGCCATAGAGTCCTTGAGTGCAATGGACTCATCAAAGCCCTGTGAGCTAGATGTTCATGTAACTGAAGATGGTTATGGATGGGTCCTTTAGCAGCAGCTTGAAAGGACACACCAACCTATTGGATTCTGGTCACAACTATGGTAAGGAGTAGAGATCTGGTACATGTTGATAGAGAAGCAACTGGCTGCTGTGTACCATGCCTTCCTGGCTACAGAGCCCATCACCAGAACAGCTCCAACCAATATAATAACCACCTGTCCCATTGCGGGTGGGTGCAAGACTG